ACATAGGGTTGATATGTGTATCGATAATGCGTCGTATTTCAGGTTGTGTATCGTGCCGATATGTGGTAGAAGTTATTGTTTCAACCCACACCCCGCAAATTAAACCTTATATATATATATATATATATATATATATATATATATATATATATATATATATATATATATATATATATATATATATATATATAACGTTTCTTATAAAGCATTGCTATTCGACAGCACATCTACTTTTTCAAATGTAAGTGTTGAAAACGTCAGCTATGGTGCGAAATCGTTATTTAAAAAAAGTGTTATTTACGAAATTTCAAAAATAAATTTTATTTACTAATTAACTCTCTCTCTCTCTCTCTCTCTCTCTCTCTCTCTCTCTCTCTCTCTCTCTCTCTCTCTCTCTCTCTCTCTCTCTCTCTCTCTCTCTCTCTCTCTCTCCCTCAGGATGTACATAAATTATTGTGCGTCAATTGTAGATCCTACATAATATACATTTTGCAATCAACGAGATGAGATCAAGAAATACCTAAACCAGAACTCCAAATAGCATCAAGTATTAATTTTTTAATAGTTTTCTACAAAAACCCATAGATTTTGTTCTGTAACTGAACTGTTGCAATTTGTCGCTCATGCAGTATTATATGCCTATAATACTCTACGCGAAAGGGTACACACGTTATGGACAGCAAACAAATCGTGGTTAAAGATAGTAATACAATTTTGGTAGCAATTTTAATTCGCACACAACTGTGTTTGAAAACGATGGATAAATCAGTCGTGGATTAAAGTTACTTGTAAATTGAAATTAAGAGAATAAAAACTTGGACATATATATATATATATATATATATATATATATATATATATATATATATATATATATATATATATATGTGTGTATATATATATTCTTATTAGTCACATAATAGGCTATAAATACTACTACAGCAATAAAATATCCAGAAGATAATTTGCATTTATATAAATTTAAATGAAATAAAAAAAGATGTCGCTATCTCCACTCGTTTTCAAGGTCAATATAAAATATTTTCCAGCATCCGCAACAAGTTGAAATTAACTAGTTAAAACATAATAAATTTAAAGGTATCATTCCTGTAGAAACAGTCATGTAAAGTTTTACAAACACAACGGTTTTCTGTTTTTGGTTGTTTGTTTTGTCTGTTTTGTATTTGCCTTTAAGAAAAAAAAACTAGTTAGATACTATTTTTGCGCTGTTCGATGTCAGATTACTGCATATATCAATAGCGTGGGAGAATGCTGGTTCTAGCCTAAAGACCTTTTCCAGCCCCTAAGCAAATATAAATTACCATCCCCTAGACTCCCTCCCAATCACAAAACGACTTTTCCCAAAATCAGCGTGCTGGTCTTGGCCCAAAGACCTTTATCAACACTCAGAGACAGTCACATTTTCAAACATTATTTTTATTTTTTCACACAAAATTCATACTTTCTTTCATACCAGCTGACTTTCATGGGTAGGATATCCGTCAATATGCTGTCAATAGTACAAAACTCGCATAGACTCTATATGTAAGATATCCGTTAGGCAAGGCTGGTTAAATTACACTCTCGGAGACTTTTAGCTCAAAGAGGCAGAAGGTCCACCGGTAAGTACCGCATCACCAATGTTCAATGGTTCAATTGTTGGTATTAGATATATTTCATCGTCGTGATGGTAGAAACTAAACTTTTACTTTACCGTTCACACGGCGACGACATTCGAACAAATTCTTCATTTGCAGCTTGTGAAGAGGATAGATTTTTGTCGATCAAGTATAATTTTGACCGATCGAGATCGATGGTAAGTTTAGTATATTTCTGTAACTGATCGGATCATGAAAGTTTTTAAATTCCGCTGATAACTTCTGATTTAACTGTTGTAGGTAATTAAAATATCCTCTGACATCAGATCTCATGACCTTCAGTTTTAGCTTCTCACGAGCTGCGGCAAAACATATACCTGATATTTTCTTATTAACTTCAACTGTCAACTGTTTGCTGTCTATCATTATATATTTGATCTTGCTGTTGCAGCTACTTGTTACTGTCAAATTTTCAAACATTATATTCTTCACACAAAATTACATACCCTAGACACCGAATATGAGATCAAGTATATCTGTTTCGCGACAATGCCCAAGTGCAAATTTATCTACTCCGTTTTCGCAATAACATTTATCATCAAAATTGCTCAATCCACTTTTGATGATGTAGTCTGTTTCGAGTTTATGACGATACGTTCGAATAGCAATTGCTCTCATAAACTAACTCCGCCGTCAAGTGCGTACTTATAATCATCAAATTTCAAAAACTTTTTAACAAATCCGCGAGGCAGACCTTTTGCCTTTCTAGTTATTTTATTATTGTCTAACAATACCGCGTACATTTTACTGCGTAATCCAATGAAGTATTTCATGATGCTCGAGTCCATTTCATCCTTAAACTTACCAACAACCTTTCTCTTTGTGTCGTCATGAAATTTACTGCCACGAGGGTAATCGGAAAGATCAAACAGATGTCGATTATCGTATATATCCTGATAGACGTCCTTACATTCGATTTCATACACGAGCAAGTCGGTGTCAGTAAACATTAGTCTACTAGACGGCCACTAATGTTTAACAAAATTGTAATGAAAATCGTTCATGAACCACATCGATAAATCTAACACGGAAGCTCCAACGTAAAACTGGTTTGATTAGTTTTAGATTTGTTTTTCGCCGTTATATCGCGACAAGATTTTCATTAAAACTTTTCATGCTGACGAAATCATCGTCTGACACAAGTTTTTTTCTGCGATGGATATCATAAACTAACTCAACATTTACCCGTTTTGATATTTCCCATCGTCTTGCCATAAACGGCGTTGTTCATAAACTTAAAGAAGTTCTTCTCAAAATCGGTTTTCGCCACAGCTCTTCTCGAAGTGTTTGAGTTAATATAACCTCTCCTCCAGGCAACTGATGAAATTTTAGTACACAATGAACTTTTATCGACACGAAACAAGCATCTACTGCTTGTTTAAAAACTCTGTAATGTCAAACATAATTTTATCGAGTAAATGATTTTTTTTACCAGAGAATTTTGTCGCGGTGATGCTAACGCTTGTTGTTCCTAAGATAACATACTATGATCTATGACCATCGATTCCGCAAAGAAAGAATAATGGTTGTGTCACCAGTTTGGATAATCGAAATCAACCTCAACGAAGTACGAAGCATAATCATCTTGTTCTACCGTGATCAAATAAATCCATCAAAAGGCATTAGTTCGGCCATAGAATAACCGTACAAAGTATTATAGTTAGATTGTACGGTTATTATATACTTCGTAGGAAGCTTAGGATATGTATTTGTTGTTTGCTTCAGCATATTTCTTTGTTATAACGCTAATACCGCCTTCGATAAAATTAAACATATCGATGTCCGTCAGTAATTCTAATCTTACCTTACTAAACTTTAACAGAACGTCCCATGACAGCCTGGGAGAAGAATAATGCCAACAAGGATCTAGTTCATAATTGGCATAGGTTACTCGAGAAAACTTTCGAATACCTTCGCCAACAATGACACGTCAGTTTTTAGATACAAATCATGATAATCACCAAATGTTCGGCAGTTAAATTTCTTCCAAATTTCTTGTGCTTATCTTTACTCTTCATCGGTGATATTTTCAAATTTTTAGTTGCGAGTAAAATTTGTCCTTGTCAGGTAGCGAGGTTTCATCAAATATGCTCCAATCGTCATGATACTCGTACGGAAATACTCCTCTTTTAGTCAGTAGATTATATTTATCTCCAAAGAGTCTCGTAGGTTATCAAACTCACTTCCGGTGCAAACTGCTGTTTACTAATGATGCTGCCATCAACTGTAGGCTGTCAATAAAATGCAACTTACCTAGTGTAAATGACATAGTTTTCACAATTATTTGGAATGAACTTGATCACGTTATCAAGTTTTAAACGAGATTTTTTTGTCAGGATCACCAAAACTTCTACAATAATGTGGTTATCGTATCTTCGGAAGTTGTGAAGACTTACCTGAATAAAATTTAGAGTGTGAAACCTTAAATTACATTGATCATGCATCGCTCCACGGTACCATAGTCACGTATATTTTTATTGTCGTTGAAAGATTTTTCACAAATATTACATAATTCCGCTTCCTCGTGATCGGATTCTTGTCGAGGTGTCAGTTTTATCATTGGAGTAACTCTTTTTAAGCGATTAAATATATCATCGACTTCGCCAATTAACTGCTCGAGAAGCCAAACAGCCGGATTTTTAATTGGATTGGTTTGGATAATATCGAATCCTGAACAACAAACTATCTGATACGTCACTTCCCATGGAACATGATTTTGAGTATTTCTTACTCGATTGGCCAGAATTTTTTTTCTGTGCCAAGTACGAGATGAAGTAAATATTCGAAATCGGCATATACATCGAAAGGAATTTTTAGTTTGTGATGGTGATGGACAAACTGCAATAAACTATTTTCTTTGGATCGTTATTTGTTGGACGTCACCACTGTACTGCAAATGCTTTTGCAATAGTTTGTTGTCCCTACAGCTGTGCAAGCAGCAATAACAGAAGTACGCTTTCTTATTTCGTTTATTATATTGTTTGTCAACGAATCCACTAAGGTTTTTAATCCAAACATAAAGATTTTTTTTATAAAACAACAAGTTTATCGTCGATTGCGAAGCTTTTTGTGATATATATCTCGGATATACCTCTTCTTTCTAATCTAGTCCGAAAAGGTTTAACGAAACATCATTTTGCTTTTCAAACATTGGTACTTTATTTTCTGCCACTGGAAAGTGAATACCAGCAAAATTTAATCTTGACACGTGACTAATTTACTTCTCAACGCTGTCGGCGTGTTGTTCTGCTGGAAACTGCGTGAAAAGAACAGCATATCGAAAACATGTCATCGAAGTTTTCGACGTTTATACATTTTTATTTTTATTTTTTCATTTTTAACCGCTCCGGTGGCCTAACGGTTAGAGCGTCCGCCTTGGATGCAGTAGGTCGTGGGTTCAATCCCCAGTCGAGTTATACCAAAGACTTACAAAAATGGTACTAAAAGCTTCCTCGCTTGGCGTTCAGCATTAAAAGGTTAGTGCTAGTACTGGTCAGCCTGGTGTAAGGATAATGTGACTGGGTGGAATATCATGCTATGGCATGATGCCCCAGTGCTAGACATCACTATAACTGCCACACTGCTAATATCATAGCGATATGACTGAAAAATTGTTAAATCTACGTTAAAAATCACTTCACATCACTTCAAATGTTTTATTTTTTATGTTTTGTGGTAGGTCAATGTACGAACTGCCGCATAATATGTTATGTTTTATGGTATGAAATAAAATTTCCTTGGTCTTTTCTAACCTCCAATTGCCTGGTGTATTTCATCAGCTAACGACGAAAGATTGATCCCAAGCTAAACACGCCTTGATTTCACATTAATGTATGGGTCCGCGATTTCCTTGTCGGTCGATTTTTTCATCATAAGCAGTTGTGAAAATATAACGTGATATTGCACTAATAGTGTTAGTGTAACAGAATTGAAACCGAGTGAGATTTCTCTGTATGGACTAAATGAATAACAACAACACAAAGTGATGAATGATTGAATTTATAAAATGCGTTACTAATATATATATATATATATATATATATATATATATATATATATATATATATATATATATATATATATATATATATATATATATATATATATCAGGATATGAAACAAATTGAAAGATTCTTACACGTACACTACTATATTGTGACTAATACAATATTCTACATACACTCATGACATGAAAAAAAAAAAATGAAAACGAAAATATGATTTAACCTAACAAATGTTATCACATGCTATGAAAAAAAATGAAAAGAAATTAAATGAGATCCACTTAATCTCGTTAAGTATTTAACTAAGATTCACAAAATCTCTTGAAAAAAATGAGCAATGCTCAATGTTATTTCTGGCACTTCGACCACTTCCTGCGTTCAACGCAAATGAACACAAGCATACACTCCTCAACTGGAATCTACTTCCTAAACTGACTACAGTTTATACGACGTATGAACCCAAATCTGGTCGACTCATTCAACACCGAATCTCCTGCTAGGCTTCGACAGTTCCACAGAGACGTCGTTAGTCCACTAATGTACCATGATATCTGATAATGTTCATTAAGCTTTCTTAATGTCAGCTATCATATGAGCTACAACAATTGGATCCAACAGACTCAATGGCTCCCATAATTCACGACAGACTTCCACAATCATAATAGACTCCCGGGGTCTATATTAATATCGAACTGTCTACAATGCTATCCAACCAAACGAAAAGAAAAGCTACAATAAAATAAAACTATTTGTATATAAAATGGTAATAAGAACAAACGCTAAAACCGAAACGTCACCCGACAGGACACAAAACCGAGAAATAGTTTCACAAATCAAATAATACGAAATTTCGACACTTACCCCTATGGCCTGAGACGATGATAGAAAGTTCGCCTACCACTGACGAAATCCAAATGACTTGTGTCTCAGTTTACAATGTATCAAGCTTAAGACCATAGGAGTGATTAATAGTCATAGTCAAATATCCACGTAATCCATGCTTTTCAATGGCTCTCCGCCTGCATGTAATTTTGAATCACTCTACCCGGTAGTCAATGATTCACCCCAGGTAACATTGTACGCCTGTACAACAAATAAAGTCTAAAATAGATTGAAGGCAAAACCAAGTTATTTTTAGCCGTATTTTGTGACAGTTAGATCTTTGTGTTTTTCAAGTTCGCTTTTTGCAGTTCGCTCTAGTAAATGATAGACATTTTCTGCAGCTAAATTTACTAGCACGATTTGTTTATCAAAGTGATAACTGTTGTTGCTATTTTTTCGGTCCTTCCATGAGACTCTTTTTGGCTATATCGCTTAATCTCAGCATTGCTATATAATAGTGTAAAATCATATCTCTAATTCATTGTTCAACTGGCGCGTGCGGTGAGTCAACAATTAGAGATATGAAATCCTTATAGTGTAATGGCAAGCGCAAATGAGCAAGAGCATTATCATGTTCACCCCAAGTACAACTTATACGCTGGTAACAGATTAGCGTCGGTGATACGTATCCAATGAGGATAACCGATTATTAAAGCAACGTCAGCAGGTTATAAGATCAGTGTCAACGGTGATCGTACTGAGATAATGAAAATTTTGAAAAAGGATTTTTGTTTTACTTTGTTCCGCTGTGACATTCCAAAAAGACAACGTGTATATCATGTTAACACGCTGTCAAAAATGACAATATCGAAAACTTATTTTTACAAGATGAGTTTCAACCGCATCCGGTATCTCGGTATTATTCGAAAAAGAAAAACTAAAAAAGTTGTTGGTGTTATGTACAAAATGGGCTATCTCATGGTAATTGTCAGAGGAACGCTAACCGATCAAATTTGTTGTCGTTTTGTTTACGAGGTATTTAACAGACCTATACATGATGGATTGGTGATTGATCACATCAATATCTTAAAACCCGACAATCGGCTGCAAAATTTGGAGCTGGTTACCAAGCAGGAAAATGCGAGAAACGGACGAGATGCCAGTGTCAATTTTAAATGTCCAGAAAAACATGTTGTTTAGTTGAATCTCAAAACAGACGAGGAAAACTAATTTAAATCGATTTCGGCTGCGGAAAAACACTATAAGATAACATTCCAGGGTAGTAAAACTTGTTGCCGATGGTTTATCAAGATCAACTTTTTCAAGCGAATACGATGCTTGGATTATCTTTAGGTACGATGATTAAGTATATTTTCTAGCTCCTTTTTGGTTAAGCAAGTATGTGCAAATGCTATAATATCATCTTTATCAAATTTTAGCGAAATTACTGTGCTATCATTAATTTTAATTTTTGTTCTGCTGCTGTTAATAATATTTTATTTGAATCACATTGCGTAACAATAACGTCAATAGAATATGCACTGTAACCTGACACATTTTTTCACTGCCTCAGCCAGTTCCTTATAATTTAGTATATTAACTTTATGATGATATTTTAGTTATCATATTACAATAGATTAAATAGAAATATAATATATTGATTTTATAAGAAGTCTTGCTTCGCCGATAATACTAGCGACGGAGTAGCAGACAATATTATAATCACCATTGACATCATAAACAAATTTTATATCTATAGCGAAGATATTTTTTTTACAACGACGAAAATTAGGGTAAACCGACAACTGGAGGGTATAACGTAAAATATCACGTTACAAAAATGTTGAAATTTAATTTTACCGTTGCCAAACAACAAATATTGTGGCGGCTGATCAAATATTTTTAAACATCAAAATTCTAGACTGACAGAAAAATATAAAATTCGATTTTATATTCGTCAATATTTTTAACATAATGACTCTCTCCGACGAACGCAGACATTATCTAATATCGTTATGTAAACCGGTAAATTGTAAATATATCCAACGTAAGTACGAGGAAATCTACGAAAACATTATTTTATCGACCAGGTTGGGGTCCAACTATTAAATTTATCGCTATACCCGCGCCACTTCACTAAACTTTATTTGCCTTTTTCTCATAATCACTTTTTCGATAACGAAAACATATTGTTTAGTTTTTGTAGTTCTTGCTCGAGAACACTACATCACCTAATAAATCTTTTAGAGCAAACATTACGGGTATTGTTAAAAGTACTTTATCAACTACAGACACTTCTTTGTTCCAAATTGGAATATATCCTTCTTCAAATATTATTTTTGTCAGAGAAATCCGAACCAGATCACCTACTTTAAATTTATGTAAGCGGTTCATATCTTAGTTCGCCAATATCGGATTTTTAATGGTGTCTTTGGGTGACATTTTGATAGTTCGGTGTTTCGTGTTATTGTACTTGTCAACAATATACCTGTTTGTGTTTTTAGCTGTAAAATATTTATGTATCTGCTCGTTTAGGAAGCGATTAAATCATTCGACGTAAAGTCCGGCTTCGTGATCGGTCCAAATTATGTCCAGTTTTCTTTCAGTACTCGTCATTATTTGTTTTAGAGCATTGGTTATCGACGTTCCTGCTGTATCCGAAATAGGTGCACTAAAATCGTATATGCTAAAAAATATATATGGCATTAAACAAGTATTTCTTTGGAACGGCATCAGCGCCAGCATTAAACTGAGCAAGATTAGATACATACACTAAATCTATCTCCCAGATATCATCCATGGCATTCGCGACAACCTAACGACGCGCAGACTTTTTTTAGTTTTGTGTAATTCGGCTAAGAGATCATCGCAAAATTCTTTCTCATGTCCGAGCTTATATTTTACTCCAATAAAATCCTGCAGTGGCCTTCTATCAAAACGTTCTCGTAGATTTGTCAGTTTCATACACGAACTTCGTCTAACATTATTCTATCACAACCAGCCTTATCTTGCTCGTGGTCCCTGTGACAGATATCATGACGCATTGATATTGCATCTACTTGATTGTATGGCTCTTGTCCCGGCAGCGGATTATCATTCTCGTCAAGTTGTTTATCCAGAGAATTGTAAGATCCAGTGTACTTATGATCTGGCAATCTCCAAGCGCCTTTTGGTTTTGGTAATTTGCCAATCCATTTGTGAATGTCAATTCCGCTGCCAATGACCTCACGGTGATTGCATGATTTACATTATGTGACGTTTATATCTTGTTCGATGCAAAAATGTTTATCGTAATCACAGTTGCACTTCATTTTATTTAACTACGTTTCATAAGATTAATCATCGGCTAAAATAACCTTATCTATCCCAGTTCCTACTTGTTTTTTCAAGAACATACTTTTCTTTCCACCACAAACAAAACAAATACATTTTAGCATTATCCTATTAATTTTTGTTTTTCAGTTGTCTCATCCTTATTTTCAGTGTTAGTTCTGCACTTAGGACATTATCATATATAAGTTTCGATAAAATTAACTGCAATCTAAACGTTTGTGCGAGAAGGTTGCATATCCCGTAACGCCATTCAATTT